TACATCGCAGTGTCGCCTAAAACATCATAAAGGGATAAACAATAGCTATCGCTTATGGACTCCTTGCGACGTATAATGCACCTCTGTGTTATATGAAAAGCATCCCATTTCTTCACCACCACCGTCCTCTGGGGAAGCTATCAATATCATCACGCTCCTTCTTACAGAGGAAGGAGGACCCAAATCCAGCAGCCACAAGCCAGAGCTGGGATCTGCATTGGAGTCTGCCACACTCCGTGACTGGCAGGTGCTCCTGCCGGTGACTCTCCCCGGCAGCCTAAAAGCCAGACTGCACACGGGCGTCACAAACGGTCGGGGACTAGAGTGAGGTTCCCCAGGGACTGGGAGGTGACGAAGACCGGTTCAGCCCATCGGCTCGCACTTGTTTCCTGCAGGTGAACCCACGAACACACGAATGGGAGACAGCAGTCCACGGGCCCCTCTCGCTTGGGAGGACTGTCATTTTCACGTCTCTGTTTTGCTCTTCTGCACTTTTTACCTGGAATTCGGTGCTGCTGTTTTTGCTTTCAAACTTTGCAAAGGTTGCCCTGTTTTACCTGTAAATAGACGAAGGTAAGAGGTGGATAGAGAACAAGAGTCCCCCGCCTTTCTTTGAGCGTGAAGAGGACGGCCACTTTGGCCAGCCTGGGGGGACAGTGAGGCTTGTTGTGGGGACCGCTCCTCTCAGCCAGGGCCGCCCCCTCTCCCTCAGGCCTCTTCCTCTGTCCCCCCTGCGTCCCTCCTGCAGTGTCCTCAGACGGGCTTGGCCATGGCACTTGTCCTCTGACTGGCTGACATGAGAATGTTTTTTCCTCTTGACGAGTCAGTTATCTTGTTGTCTGGAGTTGTTCTTTTCGGTGTAATTAAATTCTTTTCTAATTACACATTTCATAGTGACTCACTGGAGAACAGGTACAATGTCCTGAGAAGTATAGAAAGCCAACACGACTGGGCCACCATGCCCTCCGTGGGCCCAGTGACATGCCGAAAGCCACACTTTCTGTAACAGCATGTGACAGCCAGAAGCCTTCGCTGTCTAGTTGTCGCCTGGGGGTTACCTGCCCTGTTTCCCGGGGATTACCACCCTCTGTCTCTTGCTTAGGCTAGATAGAATGCCCGCTCCGCTTTACCCTCACTACCCATCGTGCAAATGCCTCTCACACAAGAGGATTAATCGATCCGCCCATCCACCCACCCGTCCGTCCATCTGTCCACCCATGTTGCCTTTGATTCACCCGTCCACCCATTTCAACAAAGTCCGTGTGTGTGTGTGTGTCTATATGTGTGTGAGTGTGCATTTCTGTCTCTAACTGTGTGCTTCTGGATGTGCGTGTTCTGGGTGTGTGACTGTGTGTGTGAGTGTGTGTGTGTGACTATCTGTGTGGGTGTGCATTTCTGTGTCTAACTGTGTGTTTCTGGGTGTGGGTTTGTGTGCCTGTGCGTGTATGTGCGACTGTGTGAGTGTGCATTTCTGTCTGTAATTGTGTGTGTGTGTGTGTGACTATCTCTGTGAGTGTGCATTTTTGTCTGTAACTATGTGTTTCTGAGTGTATGTGTGTATGTTCCTGTGACTGTGTGTGTCTGTGTGTGTGTGTGTGTGTGACGGTTAGAGCGTCGGCCTGCGGTCCAGAGAGACCCGGGTTCGGTTCCCACTAAGGGCACGTACCTCAGCTGCAGTTTGTCCCCGGCCCTGGTTGGTCGTGTGGGTGGCAGCCACTCAATGTGTCCCTTTCACGTCGATGTTTCTCTCTCTCTCTCTCTTCCTCTCTCTCCCTCCCACTCTATCTGAACAAAAAATGGAAAAATTTCCTCGGGTGAGGATAAAAAAAAAAATTATGTATCTGTGTGAGTGTTCATTTCTGTCTGTAACTGTGTGTTTCTGAGTGTGTGTGTGTGCCCGGACAGGGCACGTCCTGGCTCTGAGGTGACTCACTGAGGTCACCTCAGTCTGTGGCTAACTGAGGTCAAGACACCCCACAACATTCAGAGCCTCTGGGGAGAAAAAGCAGTGGTCAGCAGTTGTGGTTTTGCTCTGCACTATTTTTAAAGTTTAAAAAAATGCAAACAAGCAAACAAAAAACAAGCGGAAACTCATTGCCATTGAATAGCGAGGTCAGATTTAGATAAAGAACCACCCGGGCCAAAGGGCTGCCGCTGTGACTGGCAGGCTGGCAGGTCGCTGCCCCTCCAAACCCCACAGAGGTCCCGGGAGCCCTAACACCCACACCAACTACACTACCCCCACCCCCAGCCCGTGCGGGGGACACCCCTGTGCAGCCTCCCAGCGACGGAGAAGTGTGGTTTATCATTCTCACCCCAGATGAGAAAATCGAGGCCCTGGGGTGCCAGCCCGTGCCCATGCCCGTGGTGACCTCATCAGCGGGTGACAGGGCTGGAGTTTGAACCGCTCCTTCTGCCCCCAAAGCCCCTGCTCTCTGCGTGACGCCTCCCAGCACCCCTGCCCCAGCTCCTTGTCTCCAACAAGGGTTTCAAGCCAGGGCTGAGCGGGCTGTGAGCTTGTTTAACCACTGATTTTCCACAAGGAGAAAGGTTCCCTTCAGAAAGATCAATTCAAACAAAACACGGCGAGAGGCAAGTTCTCTGTGCCCGCCTGCACTATCTGTCTAACCCACGCCTCTAACCGCTTCCTCGGCGGATCGGAGCTCTGGCTTTTTATAGCTGTGGTGACGCTGAAAGCAGGAGAGGGCCCAACCCCAAATCCACAGGTCCCTGCAGTCCTCTGTGGCCAGGCCAGGCTCCCGGCCCTCACCGCCGCCACCCGCAGTGAGCCAGGTCAAGTCACAATTCCGAATGGGGGCTTTGACCTCGAGTACCGTGTGTGTGTGTGTGTGTGTGTGTGTGTGGGGTGTATGAGAGAGAGAGAGAGAGAAGACAAAGCACCCCCAGTGATGCTGAGAGAAGCGGCCCCTCCTGGTTGGAAAGATAAGCCCTCAGGCAATCATCCTGACCCTGCTTGGTGTCACCACTGCCGAAGTCCCAGCCTCGGCTCGCTGGGCACTTTATTTCCATCCCTGCCAACTCTCGCCAGGAGCCCGGGCTCAGAGCGAGTCCCTGCTGGAGGTCCGTGTTCAGGCAGCCAGCGTGCCCTGGCCCGTGGCGGGAGCCTCAGCGTCGCTGAGTGGGCGGAGGACAGGAAGCCACGTATGCTGCCCCTCTGTTCTGGGTCCGTGGACCCGCCAGCCTGTTCTGAGCAGCTCGGCGCTCCAGACACGGTGTGGCTGTATTGGACCCACCCTGTGCTTCCTTCTCCCTCGGCCCTGACTCTGGCCTCGGGGTCTCTCCTTGGGCCTGACCGCAAAGGAGAAGTAACAGCGATCCTGGTGTCGCCCCCTGTCGCCAGGGACCTCCCAGGTGTATGTGGAAGGGAACTGGTGGTCCTGGCTTGGCCTTGGACCCGGCTGCCCGCCTTCAGATCCCCCTCTCCCGCCACTCACCACCCCTCTGTGCCTCAACCCCCTCATCGAAGAAACGAGGTGGCCGTGTGTCTGCCTCGTGGGAAGGTCATGAGGCTTAAGTACATTAATGGCTGGACAATGCCGAGGATGCGGATGCCGCCCCGTCGAGGTGGGCTCAGTGACATGTCGGCGTCTCACCCCAGAGGAGCCGCGTGGAGTCGGTGCCTGTGTCCAGGTGCCCCTGGAGGAAAAGGTGCTGAGTCGCCTGTGGCCATCATGTGAAGTTGGAAGTCAGGCCTGGAGCACAGGGTGTCCACGCTGTGCTGCCATTAGCTTCTGAGGTTTGGGTCCCTGACTCCTGTGGACAGGCCAGGGCCCTCTGCTGGCCCTTTTGGTGTCTGCTCTGACCAGCGCTGCCCTCGGGATGGCTGATCCCGTTGCAGTGCCTGCGCTCCATGCGAGGCCCTCAGTCCTGACTCTGAAGCCCAGAGGCTGCTGGCACCTGCCAGGGGCAGGGCTGGGGTGCACCCCCTTGTTCCAGGAGCAGTGTCCAGCTGGGCTCTCAGGAGGGTGGCATCTATCTGTTGCCCTTTTTGCATAATGGTGATAGGAATGGCCCAGTGAGCATGGGCACCTCACTTAATTTCCAGAATGCTGTCCTTAGCCTCAGTTCAGGGATCCTCTTAACAGCCCCGGGCAGGCACCCTCTGCAGTCCTAGTTCGTGCACGAGGAGCTGAGCTCTGCGTTCCTAGTATTTTGGGTTTTTGTTATGTGCAGCTCAAGGCAGGGCCTAGAATGGAAACACACACATGGAGTCGGCCAGTGCGACGCTCTCTTTACGCTGGAGGAAGAGGGTGCAGTTCAGCTTAAGGACACACCACGTTATTCTGGGTGTAAAAGTAGCCGTGACACGGTGCGGGGGTGGATGCGTGGCCCAGAGGTGGGCTGCCTGGACTGGGGGCCTGGCTCTGGCTCCCACCAGCTGTGTGATGTTGGGCAAGACACTGAACCTCTCTGTGCTTCATTTCCTCCTGAACCCGGCTCCCACCACCTACATTCTTAGAGAGGAAATGCTCCCAACAACCTGAAATTTTAAGAGAGTTAAAATGATTTTGCCGGTTCAGCTGACTTTCACAGTGACGGTTTCCATCGTCTTAAAGCCCAAGTCTGTTTTAATTGGGCCAGGAAAGCTTGCTGTTGAGGAGACCCAGGAGGTGGTAGTGGGGTGGGGTGCCCCCCTTTGCAAGGCCTCTTCCCAGCTCTGACCTTTGTCCCTGCTCAACCACCATCAGCCCTTTGCCTTAACAAGCAACCTCAGTTCATCGCAAGGACTGACGATCGCCCTGGCCAGTGCCCTCCCTCCATAGATGAGGAGACAGACTGAGGGAGGCATCTGGTCAAGATCACAGCCTGTTGATGGGATGGCGGTCAGTCCTCACCTCCCAGCTGCCTGTGGCACTTCTGGGAAGGGTCCTGGGACTGCTGAGTGGACGAGGGGTCAGAGACGGGTGTGCCCTGAGGTCTCTGGGCTGAGCAGGAGGACGGAGGACCGAGGCTACCGGCCAGTGTCTGCTCTTTTGCAGGGTGGCTCCGTGCTGTCCCCCGCTGCCGTCATCAGCCAGGAGAGGGCTCAGCAGCAGGCAGCTGCTTTGTCAAGTGAGATTGGCTGCCCCACCTCGCCCATCCAAGAAATGACATCCTGCCTCCGTCAGAAGCCCGCCAACGTCCTCAATGACGCCCAGACCAAGGTGGGCTCCCGCATGCAAGTTGGGAAGGGACATCGTCTGAATTTTTACAAGTAGGAAACTAAGCCTAGAAAGGTGGCCTGCCCCACCCGAGGCCACCCAGCAGGTTGATGACCAGCTTGCGCTAGCATGCACCCTCCCTGACCCCGGCGCTGTGCATGGGCCCAGCATGTATGGGACCAGTGTGGGGACTGGTAGCGGACAGACTCCTGTGCACCCGGGATTTTATCTGTAAAGTGGGAGTAAGGGCGTGGGCCTTGTAGAGAAGGAGAATGACACGCAGTGACCTGTGTGCAGGCGCTCGTCTGTTTGGGGACCGTGGTGGCACTCCTCAGGTCACAACGGCACATACTGAGTGTTACGATCACGCTGCAAAGGAGATGGGCCACCCTGCCCCTGAGGGAGGACAGCTGTGTGCTCCCTTCTGCTCCCTGCAGAGACCCCACCCACAGACTCTGGCTGGCCCTGACATGAACCAAGGGGACACTGGCAGGGATCATTGTGTCATCGGAGCTGGTGGCTCGATCCCTTTGGCAGCCAGCCTGTACTTACAGACCTGGAGTGGGTCTGAGCCTCGGCTCCCCCAGATGTGAGCTCATCGGATGGTGGCCAAGGCTGATACAGTTCCCTGTTATATCCGCCTTTGGCCACCACCGCCGGCTCGATCAACGTCTCCTCCTGCCCTACGCACACTCCTGGGCTCAGGTTTACCCCTCTTCCCTGCGGATGTTGTCACCTCACAGGGGGCTCTGGAAGGTCCCCCTGGGGACCAGCATTTCACAGAGCGAGCGCGATCACCTTCCGACCCCTGACTCTGTCACCGGGTGTCCTGCCTGCCTGCTGTCATGTTCATTATGATTAAGCAAAGCAGTACCACTGACCATTTCACCTCATTTCTTTAAACACGAGTAAAATCCGTGTAAACAACGCCATTTCTTTGCACCCGGTGCAGCTCCTGGCTGTGAGCGGCCCTTTCCACTACTGGGGACCTGTGGTCGACGGCCGGTACCTCCGAGAGGCCCCCGCCAGAGCGCTGCTGAGGGCCCCGAGGGCCACGGTCGATCTGCTCATCGGGACTTCTCAGGATGACGGGCTCATCAGCAGAGCAAAGGCCGTGAAGGTAGGTGGGGGAGGCCAAAGGGCCCCTGCTGGTGGGGCCCAGCCTCTGGTCCTCGAGGTCTGGCCTTGGTCAGAGTCATCGGCTCACTTGCTCATTGACAAAGCAATTGCTGAGTAGCTACTCTGTGTAAAGGCTCTGGAAGGCACGTGGGAGGTGGCCATGGCGCTCAGAAATAAGGCGTGTGCAGGGCGGTGAGCAGCATGGACGCGTCCACACCCACCAATGGCTTCTGTGACGGGATCACCGTGGGGAACAGCGCAGAGGCCAACCAGGAGCTCTGAAGCTTCAGGGTTCTGGACTGCAGACGCCCCTGTCCACTGAAGGGTGCTTGTCCCACAGAGGCTGGGAGGACAGGGAGGCGGATGATGGGGTGCTGCTTCCCAATCCTAGCAGGGAAACCCAAACAGCGGCCTTCCAAACCGGTTTTCTTACTGGGGGAAGCGGGTACCCTGCACCCGGGAAAGGGGCTTCGTGGGGTTTGTTGTCGACACAGCCGAGTGAGAGGGAATGAGTTGTGAGGTCATCTATCTGCCTGAACACACTTCCTGTGCTGAGCAGACATAGTCTCCCCTCAGTAGGATGTGGCTCACCCGAGGAAGCCACGCCCACTGCCAGCCCGCCAGCCCTCATAGCCACGCCCATGCCCAGCCCACCAGCCTTCCTAGCCATGCTCACCAGCCTTTCCTAGCCATGCCCACTTCCAACCCACCAGCCCTCCTAGCCACGCCCACGCCCAGCCCACCAGCCTTCCTAGCCACACCCACTTCGCACCTGCCGGCCCTCCTGGCCATCCACTCTTGGTGGCTAGCCTTCAGGTTGGCAAACCTGGAATGGCGGCCCCAGTGCATGGGACACAGTGAGGACACACACACTGAACGTGGGGCTCTATCAGACATAAGGCGGCAGAACGGAATTAAAAACCATGAAATTGTCCACCAGACTGGATCTCGCATCCCCTTGAATGATTCTACCCCCGTGGGCACTGTCTCGCCTGGGGGTCTACCTCATGGCGACAGAAGCACCCTTTTGACGTGATGTCCGTACAAGGGTATTGATCACGGCGTGAGTTATTGTGGCGAAACATCGGCAGCAACTCAAACGTCCTTTAACAGGGAGACGGCGGAATCGTTAAAATGCGCACAACCGTTACGTGTGTGCGTGGAGGAGAAGGGACTCGCTGCCTCCGTGCTCAGGAAGGCCCGACACGTGGTTAACAGGGAACAAGAACTCAGAGAGCAGAGAGCACAGAGCACAGAGCAGCGCGAAGCTCCTGTTCCACACACCGAGCTGCGTGATGATGCGTGTGTGACGTGAAAGGGTCATGGTGTGGACGGTCCACAGCAGGCCGTGGACACTGGCTGTCTCAGGAGGCTGGGCAGTGCGGCCGAGAATGTTATGAATTTAATGCTGCTGATACCACTACATGGACGTGTGTGTGTGATATATGACGCGTATGCATATATGATATAACAGTCTTCCATGAAATCATCCATCCCCACACGACCTTACGAACAGGAATCATTATCACTGTTCTTTGGAAGGGTCACTAGATCAGAGAGAAGACAGTTCAAATCCAGGGCTTCCCAGCTCCAGAGACATTCTCTTCTGTGACGGCGCTCGGGCACAGCCGGGCCTTCCCTCCCGGAGCTCACTGTTCACCGCGCGTGTGCTGGGCACTCGTGTGCACACACACACAGTGTCAGAGGGGCCGCTGTGTGCACAGGGCTTTGTAGCTCCACCCACCTTCTTGCCCCTCTGGACCCTAACACTGCGGTAGAGACTCATGAACCGTATTAAACACCCTTGTACTGAGCAAGAAACAGGTTTCCAGAGGTCAATGACTGTCCTGAGGTCATCTAGCTAGTCTGCAAAGCTAGGACACCTTGTTGGGTCCTCTGGCTCCCAACGAGGCACTTTGCCCAGAGCCCCACGTGTTCAACTCCAGAGCAGGGTGGTGACGGCGCTCGGACCGCAGATGCCCTACCGACGTGCCCGTGGTCCAGAGGAGCCCTCAGAGCCCTGCCCGGCACAGGCTGCAAGGGAGTGGTGTGGGCCAACCAGTAGACACTGGGCCACCCATGCCCTCCAGACCCAATATCAAATTTCCCATTTATTTCCAAACATCCTGCTCATTCAAGCCTCCCAGGTCACCTTCCTCACCTCAGCCTGCGCATGACCTGGGTTTAGAGTCGGGTTTGTGGGTTTCTCCACTCCCCGCCAGCAGGCTCCATCCACCTAGCCCACCTGCCATCAGCCCAGCAGAACCCAGGATGGTGCCTCCCTGAGGTCTGGATCCCCGTGACTCCTCCGGCGAGGACACAGCCCCGCCCCTCCCGCCCCTCCTGCCCCACCTCTGCTGAGAAGCAGGACATCACTTGCAGGGAATCGCCACATCCGCCCCGAAGGGGTGGCAAGCATGTTTTTGAGCACCCAGACCCATTTGTCTATCACGTGACACTTAACGAGGTCCCTCCCTCTGTGCCAGACCCTGGCTAAGTGTCCGGGGTGTTAAAGCAAACACATCTGCCCTCCAGGAGTTCACAGTCAGAAAAACAGATAGAAAGTGAGGAAAAGTGGATAACTAGAATTCCATTTGCTACACACTGTCTGGAGAGGTGGACACCCGACCGCAGGACCTCGAGGACAGTCGGGACGGGGTCGCTGCGCCCCCAGTGGTCCGGCCAGCATGAGGGACACAGTGATGAAGGAGCTGACCAGGACCTCATCCCCTTGCTGTCTGTCAACAGAGCAGGGCGAGTGCCCTTGACTGGAATCAGGAGCATCTGCATCCCTGGCGCCCGAGCCTCAGTTTCCCCATCCGTGGATATCCTCCTGTGGAGAGGATTCAGAGAACCACCGGTGTCTGGCAAACAGGATGTGCTCAGTGAATATTAGTTCTTCGCTTAATTCTTTAACTGTGCTATTATGGTTAGTGTTCTAAACTGTTGTCCCTGATCCAGAGAATTACCCAGAGACAGCAGGAGGGATGCACAGACCAGCTGATCCCTGAGTCACCTCCCCTGACGGAGACTGATCTTCCCAGCTGTGGCGTGCACACACACGCACGCTCACACGCACACACACGCACGTGCGCAGGCGCCTTTTCCTCATGCCAACCCCGCATCACTACCACTGGACCCCAACCCCCACACACGCGTGGTCCAGCTTCCTGCGGGCAGGCCCAGGAGGGACAGGACTTCTGCTCCGAGTGCAGCCTCTGGACCTACCTGTCACCCCAGCAGAGACCCACCGATTCCCAGGGACCAAAGAGGGTGGGTGGGAGGGCTTCCGTCAGTCCGTGAAGACCCTCACTCACCTGCCATCCCACCCAGCCGTGGCCCACCCAGGAGCCCTGGTGACGCCCACCAAGCCCGCGACATACCGGTGCAGCCTCAGGGCTGCCTGGCACTGGAGCAGCCCCGTCCTCGGAGAGTGAGCTTGTTTCTGAAGGAGCAGCGCTCCGCCGAAACCCTTCCTCAGCCGCCCGCCGTGGTGGGGTTTCTTCCCCGCCTCTCTCTCCCGCTTCCTAACTGGCAAAACCGACAGGCTGCCTGCGTTAGCGGGCGTGGACCTGCGCGAGCTGCAGCAGATCGGCTCGGGGATGCGCGGCTCTGCCTGCCCCTCCAAGCACCGGCAGCTTCAAGGTGGGAGGGAAATCCCAAGGCGCGTGTGGCCGCAGCCGGGGCCGGCGCTTGGCCAGGAGCTGGCCTCCTGCAGGAGCAGGTGGAGGGGCTCTGGGGGAGGGGGCGCCCGGCTGAGAGTTGAAAAGCAGCGCCTGGCAGCTCGAGCTGCTGGCACCAGCCCCAGCACGGGAAAAATCAAGCCTTTGGTGACAGCTTCTAGCCGAGGACCGAGCGGGAGTCCCAGCGAGTATGCGTGATTTCCTGAAGGGAGGCATCGCTGTGCCAGCTCCGTCGCTCAGAGGTGCGGGGGGCCGGGGTCAGAGTCTGAACCAGCCCAGGGCCTGAAATCCGAAAGTGGGACAAAGTTCCCGGCTTTAGCCAAACAGTTTGGGCAAGATGCTTAACCAGTGGAGCAGCTCCTACCCTTCACACGGCACAGGGAGAGCAGCCCTGCCTCTCCCGCACTGTCCGGAGAGGGCTCCGGGCCGAGGAGACAGTGCCCAGCCCTCGGGGCCCTCTCCGGGCCCTGGCTCTGGCCTTCCCGAGCGCACGGCGAACCCTGCGGCCAGGCCCTCGGAGCTGACCCTTCCGCACGTCACCTGGTCCAGTGATCCCCAGGGTCCTGCCAGGTGTGCTCATCACTCTCAGTTCAGAGAAAGCTGGGGATCAGGGAGATGGACTTGCCTCCCCTCCCCCCAAATAGGAAAAATTGCATTACTAGTGACTGCGTTTGTGAGTGATTGCATTGACTATTTACGAGATCGTATTTACCGTTGACAGAAGAAAGCGTGCCAGGCTGGGTTCTTTATTCCGCAGTCTTTCTTTCTTTCTGATTTTAAAGGGAACACTGTCAGGGGCCCCTGAGATTGTGGTGGGCCCTGGGCCCCAGGCCTGCTGTGTTGGAGAAGTGGGCCCCTTGTCCCTTAACCCCCACGAGAAGTAGTAGGAACAGGAGCCCCCCCATTAATTCGTGCATCTCATGCATATTGGTTAAGGGGCTCTCCTTGAGGCTCTGGGGACAGCTTTTGCCCAGCAGAGAAAGCTCCTGTCTTGTGGACATTGTGTTTTGTGAGAGAACATAGCTGTGGAAGCAAACACATTTTGAATTTCAGGTCTTGAAAAAAGTGCTCTCAAGAAAATGAAACGTAAGGGGAAGGCAAGTAATACAACGGAGGAAGGTCCTTCAGCAGAGAAGCCAGGGAGGTGACTGTGCACCGAGACCTGAGTGATGACAAGGGGCCAGCGATGGGGCCAGCTATGTGAAGAGCCAGTGCAAAGGCCCTGGGGCAGGGCTTGTCTGAGGGAAGGAGAAGTCCGGAGTGTTGGAAACCCCTGGAAAGTGGAGGCAGAAATGGGAGAGGATGTCGGACATGTTGGAAGGACATGTTGGATGAGATACCGACCACCATAAAAGTGACTTTATTCTACTAGCTGTGGGCAGATACTGGGATGTTTTAAGCTAGGAAGTGATTATATTGGTTTATCATTTGCACCCTAGCAGCTCTATGAAAAACTGACTCTGGAGGGGTAACAAGGACGGAGAGGCCAGATTACACTCGGTGCGAGGTCCCGGGAGCAAGCGCATAAGTTAAAGTAGGTAGAGACAGGATATCAGGGAGAAATAACCAGAGTTGAGCTAGATCTTGGATTGGCCGTTGGGCATATGAGTTGGGAGGTGCAGGGAGAAGTCAGAGCTGTAGACACAGGTTTGGAAGAAATCCAGGAAAATTTGATGTCACCAAAGCCAAGAAGAAAACTTCCGAGAGGAAGCCAAGGTCAAGCGTCGGATGTCATTGAAAACGGCATGAGATGAAGACAGTGATCTGGCTGCTGGACCTGACAGGATGTAGTCCGGGGATCTTGATAAGGGCCATTTCAGCTGAGCGAGGGGGCAGCTGAGCAGAGGCTGCGGCCAAGTGGGGAGTGAGGGTGGGGGCTCTGTGCTCCCCACTCTCTCCGCTGCCCCCCCATTGCCTGGACCCGTCCTCACGGGGACCTCTGCGCATCCACGGGCTGCTGTTCTGACGTGACCCTCTCTGGCCCACGGGCATCTGTGTCATGTTCATTTTAAGTACCAGTTGCTGGTCTACACTGGGTCTTTCTCGGGTGTCCATTCAATGAACAAATGGGTATTTGTGTCTCCATCTACCTCGGAGCTCTGGGGGGTTCTGGGGACATTCATCCATTCCTCTGTTTCCCTTTGGAGACTGCTCTGGCCCTTCTTCTTCTGAGACCTGGGATGTCCTGACCACTCTGCACACCTTGGAGAGTAACCAATGTGCAAGAACGAATTAAGGACCTTCTGCCTCCAAAACACCCCTCCCCCAAGCCCACCTGCCACAGTCAGCGTCGGCCCTTCTGCCCCGTGATGGGGAGGTGATGAGGCCGTGAGCCAGGAGAAGGCAGAAGAGCAGACGGGAGGGGGCTGGGGGCTGAGAGACTGTGGGGGGGAGTGGAAGGAGACTAGAGACGTCTCTTTCACATCAGGCGACTGAGCCCCGGGCTTAGTCACTGAGGACAGGGGTGGGAGGGAGGAATGTTCTGGAGATGAGCGAGAGCATGTGGCGGTGATGAAGTGGAACTGTGCCCATACTGGGTTTGAGGGACCCCGATCCCAGGAGGCGAGAGACGGGGATACGCAGGTCCGCGGTTCTGGCCGGAGAGAGACGGAGGCACCATTAGCTCACAGGTCGTTACTGAGGCCGAGGGAGGAGACGTGCCACCTCGAGGGCAGGGTGGCAGCTGGGGTCTCAGCATTTAACAGTGTTTTGAAAGGGAAATGACAGCAGACGCTGGTTTTAGAGACAGAGCAGTTTAGAGAAAAGAATGTGGGGGGACGGTTGTGTCGGGGGGGAGGGAGCAGAGCGGAGTGGCTGGGTGGGTCCCCGCAGCCATCAGTGACCTGAGGGGTGGGGGTGGGGCAGATGGCAGTGGGTGAGGGGTACATGGACCTGCTTTCTGAGTCCAGACCCTGGGCTGGGCATGCAGAGGCGGGAAGCCAGACAGAGACCCCGCTTGGGGAACCTTCCCTCTTCTTGGACCGAGGGAAGGCTCACTGGCCCAGGAAAAGGGACAGGATTTGAGCAGCGCCCTGGACGGGGGTTCCCTGAGTAGCAGAGGGCCTTGCCGCTGTGGGCAGAGCCCCGAGGAGCACGCGGGGGGTAGCAGCACCGTGGGACTGAGGTGGCAAGAGAGGGCGCCGCAGGAGGCAGCGGCTGCTGGGGTCCTTGCTGGGCCCGCAGAGCTGGGGGCACCGACGCAGGCCACCAGGCAGATGGCCCTCTCTCTGCCCTGCACGTACAGCCCTGCCTCTGGCGGCCGCGAACCCCCAGGGAGGACCCTTCTCCTGCCCCTCCTGAGGCACACGCTGGGCAAGGGCCACGCCAGCCGCTCCGCCATTTCGACCCTCCCCATCCAGACCCCAGTTCCCGTCCTGCCCTGCTGGTCTGGTCTGTGCCACAGTCCTCATCACCACCGAGCTTTCTATGCTACAAAGATTTGTCAGGTGTCGCCAGTCCCCCCCATCTCGATGCGAGGCCCCCAGAGGGCAGAGAACGTAGCCTGTATTGTCCCCCGCTGGGTCCCAGATGCCCAGAGCGGCCCCTGGCAGGTGCCAGCACTCGGTAGAAGAGTGTTGACTGACTAGTGAATGGGAGATGAAGACCCTGGAGGGGGATTTCTCATCGTGTCTGTCACAGGGGAGACGGACACGGGGCATTTACTTTGAATAACTGACGACCAGAGTGGAAGGACAGTCGTGTTTACTGCCGCCCACGTGTGAGCCACTTGCGAACCGCTGATTCACCGGACTCTGATGTCCAGGCACAGACAGGAATGGTCGCTGAACGAATTTACTGATGGACGGTGACTCTTCCGAGGTCATCGCCGGAGCCGGGGTGAACCTGGGTCTCTCACATGCCAGTCACGCTCCGTCCACTAGGCCACGGGCCTTTCGGCCGCAGTGAGACCCTCCACCATCTCTGAATGGGTCCGAGGGCCTGTCACTTTCCCGGGGGAGATAGGAATGTCAGTCCTTTAAAAACCACACATGAGGGACGTGCCAACTCCGGTCAGCCTCAGGGAAGCCCGCCTGCACCAGCCTGCCCGGGGCGGCCCTCACTGTAATGACAGCGTGTGAAAGTCAGCGGCGGTCACGTGGTGGCCCCGTCCCTCCTGCTGACTCTGATCAAACCAGAGACGCATCTGTGTCTCCGTCCTTGCCAGGAACAGAGAGCTCTGGGCGCTCCTGAAATCGGGCCCCTTAATGTCCTGGGGCCCCTGGGGCTTGGGATTTGAACCCGAGAGGTTCGACTGTGGACGTCCACCGGCAGCCTCTAGCCTGTATCACCTCCACGAAGGTCAGCGTCTCCTCCACGCGTCTCACACATCTTCACTGAGCACCTGCTGGGTGCCGGCACCGCCCTGAGCGCGGCCTGCCCCTCTGCCCCAGGGTAGTTCTGGCAGGGACGGCACAGGCTCCAGGGCGCCCGGGAGCCCCCGCCTCACCTGGGGACGCGCTCATGGTATCATGTCTATTGACCATGTGCCCAGAACTGCACCAAACCTACAGGTGCACGTTTCACTGGACTGTGGCAGTAGTTCTCTGCCGTTATTTTGATATTTGAGAGAAACACACCTGTTAAATGTTTGGTAATAATTAGAGCTATGAAAATGATTACTAATGCCATTTTTTGGTTATGCAATATTCCAAAACTTAGAAAAAAGACAGAGAATAATATGATGCAGCCCCCCCCCCAAACTATCGGTAGGTTGTAAAGATTACAGGTGAGCATTTTCAAAGAGACTAGAAAGGAGACAGTGGGAATTATCAGATGTATTATGTATGGAAAGAGCCATGCGCACGAACATTATTCATGAATGTATGTCAGGTGTGTCTGTATGTGTTACATGTCTTTCTTACCAGAGAGCATGGTAAAACATATTTGAAAGTCTCTGATATAATGAATACCGTGTATTCATTATTCAGATTTAGCAAATATTAATATCTTGGCATATTTTCTTCAGATCTTTTCCCGAGAAATACACGTTATAGATAGAGTGGAAATGAAACCCTGTCTGCATGCCTCTTCCTGTCCTTCCCTCGTGTCTCCTGAAGCCCGTGGACACACCTTTGATCACCCATCCCACCGGCTGGCCCGGCCTCTCGTGGGGAGCCCGGCTAAGGCAGCCCACCGAGGACAGGCTGAAAGCATGTCAGCCAGGAGGTATTGCTGACCGATCAAATGTCCTCCTCGATTCTGGTCACAGGTCCTGCGTGCTTGGGGATGCGTAGAGAGACCATTTAAACGCGCCAGGGTGTCCTGACAAGCATATTTCGCTGTGGATGTGAAGCCTAGAAATACGTAAACACTCATCGTAGGATCAGACAAGGGCCGAGGGGTCTGGACCTCACACTCCAGTGGCATCTCTGACGCTGCTGCCCCTGCCCCTCGTCTTCAGAAATGAGGACGCTGCGTCCTGGGCGCAGGAAATGGCCCCCCAAGTCCCCCCAGGACAGACAAGAGGGATGTGGGGACAAGAAGGAAGGCAGAGAGAAAGAGGAGGGACAAAGGGAGAGAGAGAGAAAGGAAGGAAGGAAGCATGGAGGGAAGGGGGGGAGGAAGGAGAGAAAAAGGCATTTCCATGTGGACACATCCCCAGAGAGCTGTTGTCCCGACGGTCCTACAGAAAGAGCCCAACCCTGTCCCTCTCGCGCGGCTCTGTTCTTGTCACAGCCCCTGGCCCCTGCTGGACTGGGCAGTATTTGCTTATTTTCCATCCACACCCACCGGAACACGAGGCCCACGGGAGCAGGGAGCTTGATCCGCGCCCACGGCTGTTCTCCGAGGCCAGGCGCGCCGTGGGCCCTGGATGAAGAGTTTGTCGCTGTGACAATGTTCAGAAAGCGATCCCGTGTTGAATGGTGGAGTCTGAATGACCTGAAGGCAGCTGTCCCCAAGGTGACAACGAGCAGTCAGGTGAAGTGGGTCAAGCACAGGTGTCTGGCCTGTTGTCAGCTTGCGGTGGGGACTCACGGACACGGAGCACGTGCCGAGAGCCCGCACGCTTCGCCCGCGCCGCCCGTCTGTCCCGCGCAGCCCTGCACGGACGGCCCTCCCGAGTCAGCACAGGCACGGCCGCTGGCTCGGGGCACACGGCCAGAGCTGGCAGTGCTGGGCCTCAAACCCAAGGGGTCTGCTCCTGGCACCCCGGGCTCCGTGCCCTGTCCCGCTGTTGCCCAGAGAGAAAATTCTAGAGCAAGGGTCTGCGGAATACGGACTCAGGCTTTCGGAATCTGACTGGGGGATTTTCATCGCGCGCCCCCTCTCTCTCTCTCTTTTTAAAGCAATTTGAGGAAAGTCAAGGCCGGACCAGTAGCAAAACAGCCTTTTACCGGGCACTACAGAACTCTCTGGGCGGCGCGGATGGGGACGCGGGCGTGCTGGCCGCCGCCACGTGGTACTACTCCCTGGAGCACTCGGCCGATGACTACGCCTCCTTCTCCCGGGCCCTGGAGAACGCCACCCGGTAAGCGCGCCAGCACCGGTTCTGCTGCTGCCCTTGGCCAAGACGATGCTCGGGTGCGGGACCTGCTATGTGCCCTTTCCTGGGCATCACGCAGTCCGTCTGCAGCCAGGGCGACTGCCGCAGTGGGAGGGGTGAGGGCTGACCCCACTCTTCCTGGGCATCACGCAGTCCGTCTGCAGCCGGGGTGACTGCCGCAGTGGGAGGGGTGAGGGCTGACCCCACTCTTCCTGGGCATCACGCAGTCCGTCTGCAGCCGGGGTGACTGCCGCTGTGGGAGAGGTGAGGGCTGACCCCACTCTTCCTGGGCATCACGCAGTCCGTCTGCAGCCGGGGTGACTGCCGCTGTGGGAGAGGTGAGGGCTGACCCCACTCTTCCTGGGCATCACGCAGTCCGTCTGCAGCCGGGGTGACTGCCGCAGTGGGAGGGGTGAGGGCTGACCCCACTCTTCCTGGGCATCACGCAGTCCGTCTGCAGCCGGGGTGACTGCCGCTGTGGGAGAGGTGAGGGCTGACCCCACTCTTCCTGGGCATCACGCAGTCCGTCTGCAGCCAGGGCGACTGCCGCAGTGGGAGGGGTGAGGGCTGACCCCACTCTTCCTGGGCATCACGCAGTCCGTCTGCAGCCGGGGTGACTGCCGCAGTGGGAGAGGTGAGGGCTGACCCCACTCTTCCTCGGCAGTGTGCTCTCACGCCTTCGGGGGCACAGACAGTGCCTGCTGGGGGCACCTGTTGGGTGCCCCCCCCCCCTGCCAAAGAGCAGCTGTGCAGCAGATGCTGATGGGGAGCCTGCTGTGCTCAGCCCGGCAGAGGCCTCCAGGGGCCGCACCCTGGCTGCCTGTGGGAACAGTGGGGGAACGTTCACGGGCAGGCACGGGCCCCGTGAGCATCCGTATTTTTCACAGTTAGAGCCCCAGGCGACTCTGCTGTGCCACCAGACGTCCCCGGCACGTGGGGAGGGCCGCCCCCCCCCCGGGAAGGTTTGTACCTGATGTCACACTCCAGACAGGTGCCCGTGCAGCCCTGTCCCTAGGGCGCGGGTCCTACACTCCCTGCTGTTTCTTGTCTGTCCAGCTCATTGCCTCAGGCTTTCCTCCCTCAGGAAGTCAGACCCCGACTGACCCACCCCAAGAGCGGTGAACAGGTGCCCCCGACCCACCCCGGGGTGTACCGTCCCCAGCGCGTCTCTCTCTCTCAGCACCGCCCGCACCCCTGCACCTCTCCGACCCGGCCTGACTCCCAGTCCGCGGTGGGCTCTCTGGGGCCGAGGACGGGTCGTGTATGAGCACCAGCTGGTGCCCGAGAGGTGCGTTTTGAACGGAGTGAAGACAGCCAGGGTTCGGGTTCTCTGCCTGCAGAGGCCTGGGGCCCAGAACAGCGAGGGCTCCAGCCCTCCCCCCACAGCCTCCGCGTGCGGCTGTCTCCCGGCAGGCCCTCGGGGAAGCCCGCACGTGGCCGGGGGTCTCAGCGTCCCGTAGCCACCGCCGGCCCTCTCCTCAGGGGCCCGCCCTGGCCTTTGCTCTTTGTCCCTGGGCACAGAGCCGATGCCGAGGTCCAGCGGCCCGTGCTGAACCCGACTCTGTCGGGAAGGGATGGACTGTTGAGACCCACTGCCCAGCGTGGTCTCTCCACCCGCATCTGCAGCTTCCAAGTGCAGGGTCATTAGCGCAGAATAAAACTTCATTTGCCCACGGGGTCATGGGCACCAGTCAGGGTTTAATTTTCTCCTTAGTGGAGGGCTCAGCTTTAAACCAGACAACACACCGCGACTCCCGGAGGCTCAGCCTCACAGGGACCCTGCTGTCCCTGTCCTGGACCGGGCACAGACATCCAAGTCCTGGACCTGGAGAGGCTCACCCCGTCAGGACGGGCTCGGATCCGTGCGGCAGACACAGCTCAGGGCAGGATTCAGAAACCGCTGTTTCCGTCCGTGTGCCTTTGACTGGCTTTGAAGATAATTTGTACACAAGCAAGAGCTGAGGTCGAGGGAGGACAGGCAACCAAGGAAGGCTTCCTGTGGAGGCGACTCCAGTCTCCCCTTAGCTCTGGCCCTCTTTCTCTTCCGGCCAGACTTGGGCAATGGGGAGCCTCCCCGCTGCCCATCTCCTTGGCAGGGTGTGGCCCCAGCACAGCCAGGGCGTGGCACTGCGTAGGTCTCCATCCCCGTCCTGCTCTCCGCTCGTCAGGGACCGTCCTGCTCACGGCTCGTCAGGGACCGTGCGACGCAGCACACCACCTCCATCGCCCTTCCAGACCCTCACTGCCAGCCCCACCCTCCCTTGGCGCCTTTCCCGTAGACACGGGGACTGCCCTACGGACCCGCTAAGGGGTGGTGGCCCTCCTCACTGAGGGACTTTCATGGGCCTTCTCAGATTCGATCGTTACATCTCTGCAGGGTGGGGCCCATGGGCCCCGTTTCTCAGCTCAGGAGATGGAGAGTCAGGAGATGCAGGAGGGGCTGGATGGAGCTCAGAGCCTGGGGGCCGCAGGCCAGCTGAGGTCGCCCGGTTCCAGCCAGGCAGCCCCCCTTCAGCACCCAGCTCTGCCCTACCCCACTCAGGGCCCACTGCGCTGAGCGGGGGCTTCTGAAATCTATTCGCGTCACGCCAAGGGGCAGCAGGTGGGACACTTGTCCGCCTCCGCACCGTTGACATTTAGACTGGAACATTCTTTCTGGGGAGGGTCGTCCTGTGTATTGTAGAATGTCTAGCAATCTCCCTCCCTGGCCTCAGCCTACCAGATGCCACTAGAAACCTTTCCACCTCCAGCTGTGACAACCAAAAATGTCCCCAGACATTGCTGAATGTCCCCGGGGTGAGGGTGGTCCAGCTGAGAGGTACCGGTACAGGTGTCACATGCATGACGCATCCTGAGCTCTCTGTCTTTTGAAACGCACAATTCTTTTACGTTCTGCTCCATAATATGCTCTATTTATTTTACCGTAAAATGTTTTGCTTCCAAATCTGTAAGTGACATGGATGTTCTGGGAAGATGTTTGTCTCACAAGCCTCTCGAGCCTAAGGCGCATCACCATGGACACCAGCATGGGGTCCTGCCCGGCCATAAAGCAGACTGGCCCAGGTGCCGTGTCCCTGGCCACTCCAGTGAGCCATCTGGGGAATTCCAGGAGGGTGCACACTGTCATGCTGCCTGTGCAGAGGGCTTGGCGGCCACGGGACCATTGCCCGGGAGAAGCCTTTGCCCGACACACTTGTCTACAGAGCTGTGCATCACTAGACCCCTCCTCTGTCCTCCTTTTACCAGGGACTACTTTATCACCTGCCCCGTGATCGACCTGGCCAGCCGATGGGCAGCGAGGGCCCGAGGAAACGTGTTTATGTACCACGCTCCCCAAAGCTACGGCCACAGCAGGTAAGGGGGTGTTGGCAAATGAAGGGAGTCTAGTGGGAGGTCCCTGTTGCTTCTGCGTCTGTGATCTGAAGGAGGGCAGGACCTGACTCAATGATGTGGGACTCGTCCCTTCACCTCTGTGAGCCTCAGTTTCATCATCTGAAAAATGGGTATAATAGTAACCGCCACCTTATTTCACAGTGTTGTAGGAAGGGCAAGTGAAATACAAGCTGCAGAAGGTGCCCTGGAATTGCAGTGTGAGCCATGAATGGACTGATCCGGCGGAGGCTTTAATCCTGCACGCTTGTGCCTCTGAAAACGGAGCACCCAGCTTAACGTAAAAAACGACTTTCCACGGAGTAAAAGCGTGTCTGGTCCAGCAAACGAAACACACACACACACAATGCTTTGTTTACACCTACTTTATGCACCCTTCTTAATTCCAGAGTAGGTTTAATGTACCTGATAATAAAATTTCAGATGCAATGAAATGATCAAAACAGAAAAGGAAAATAGGAGGTAGAAGGAAAAGAAAACGCACAGTAAGGGAAGGGCCGCCGTGGGCGCGGAACGTAGCCCTGCGCTCTCGGAAGCCAAAGGAAAGCCTGGGAAATAGAGAAGGGAGGAACTGAGGTTGGGTTCATAGCTCCGTCCGCTAAGCCACGCCAGCCCTGTAGTTCACAGCCACAGACAAGCATGTCAGGGCCGGAGTGCGGACGATGCCAGAATCGGGTAGTTTGATCTGACCCGAGAGTGGGAGCCAGGATGCCGTAAGGAACACGCCTGTTTCCTGGGTGACAGGGTGGCGGTCAGGCCCACCACGCACTGGCTGTGCAACCTCGGGCAGGCTCCTTTGCCTCTCTGATGCTCAGTATCCTCATCTACAAAACGAGGCCAGTACTTGCCAAAGTATCCAGCTCATCACAGGCATTAACCTGAGTTATTCTGCAACAGTACGAAGTGAACATACGTAATTTCCCGTTGCAAATGGCAACATCCCTATAGTAGGCTGAGCAATGGCCACCCAGAGATACAGGCCCTCACCCCTGGAACTCCTGTTACCTTATGAGAAAAAAGGGGCTTTTCAAATGTGATTAAGTTAAGGATCTTGACCTGGAAAGACTCTCCCGGGTCATCCTGCCGGGCCCGGGAGGCAGTCACCAGAGTCCTTAGCACAGAGGCAGGGCGAGCAGCCAGCCGTGGGAGGAGACCACATGACCACAGGGGCAGAGACAGGGACGCTCCCCAGGGTGAGGCTCCCCAGGGCTGGAAGAGCCAGAGATGCCTGTTCCGGAGCCCCCAGAGGGAGCGCGGCCTGCTGACACCTTGACTTCCACCCTGTGGAACTGACTTTGGAGTTCTGGCTTCCAATCCAGTCCCTGGGCTCCATGGGGATCGATTTTGCCATCTGCAAAATGGGATTAGAGGGTGAGGGGGGCACGAGCACTGATGCCTCCCTGGGCCCCGTAGCCCCGCACCCAGGCCCACGGAGGAGGGCCAGGTGGGGGGCCCGAGCCCCCTGCCCCACCCTCGCTATCTCGTAGCTGAGCCTCGAGGGCAATGTCAAGGTCGTGCCCTTTAGAGAGGCCTAAGAGCAGTGGGCCCAGTCACCCTTAGGTGCCGTCTAACTGTCTCACCATCATTTCGGGGGGAAGAGGCATTCAGAGCCCCCAAACCATTTCACAGGCAGTGATGGTGGCAGGTGCCCAGAGGCCGGACGTGTCCTGGTCAGACAGGGACTCCCCGCCGACCACCTTGGCTGACACCCCCTCTGACTCTTATTACTAGCTCAGTGACCTAGGCATGCCACCCTCCTTGGTGACTCAGTTTCTCCATCTGCAAAATGGGAATATGAGCAGTCGTCCCTGCCTCAGAGGGTGGCTGTGGCCATCACTTTGCACAGCGGATGGGCCTGGCGAGCCCTGAGCGCGTCAGCTTCATTGTTCTGTCCACCAGCTGTCTGTCTGTCTCCTCTCCCCACAGTACAGCCGGGCCACCTCTGTCATAGGTGCTGGAAGGCATGAATGAATCACGGAAACGGATTTAATTTGCTGGCAAGTGCATCTCCCCCTGCCCGGGGGCTCACGCGTCTCATTGACTCCCGGCTCAAATCCACACACTTGGAGCCTGGGTGCGCCTCGCGTTCCCAGCCATCTGTCCTGGGCTCCGTTTCTGGGCGCGCACATCAGCTCTCCTGGCATTGCCAGGGGACAGAGCACAGTACATCACCACGTTGTCACTGACTGCTGCTCATGAATCACAGACGAGACGGCCCCGTGACGGTGCACCTGGGTGATCGATGGGGTTTTTGTCCCTGAAACTGAGGGACGGACCCTGTGAGGAAAGACTTGACTGACATTGAATGGGGGCGGGGTGGAGCCCTTGGGGTCAGAAGCCTACTCAGCTCCGTGGAGGATGTTGGCGCACTCTTTAATTTTGGGAGAAGTGGCCCAGGACAGTGGAAGAACACACTTTTTGAGGTTAATGCCATCTCTCCCACTTATGAGTCCTTGTCATCGGAGCAGGTCCCTGTGCCTCGACGTTCGAACCTGTGAAGTGGGTGTAGTTGCACCTGATCACAGTGTGAGGATTCACGTGAGTGGGTGCTCAACCCCCGGCACGTCATAGCTGTTCAGGAGTGGTTATTTGCCTTTAAGGAAAAATAAGGCCCTGAGAAGAAAAAACAGCTTAAAATGACTAAAGAGACAGTCACAGGACATCTTCCCAAATTGTCCCAGCCCCGGAAAACAGCCATAAATTCTAGACAGAAGGTTTGTGCGCACCGCATTCCAGACAGCTCTGTGCATTCCAGGGCCTTTCCGCGTTTCAGATCCAAAACATCATCTTTCTAGTTGACTGTCGTGGTGAGTTTGTTAGAATTCAAACCAAAGAAAACACGGAGGATTCTTGAATTGGGTCCATGGGTCTGGCTACATCCTGTGCGATTAACAAGATTATTTCCCAGTAAAGATAGAAATAAGTCCTTTCCTGAAACTGACCACTCCGATCCCGTGACCCAGAGAGGCTCGGGGGGTGCGTCCTCTTCGGCACAGACGCGGCGAGTATTTGCCGATGGCCGTCCCTGTCCAGATTCTCTTCCAGATCCTCGAGGTGCAGGAAGCCCTGGGCCTCCGGGAGCTAGCACTGCAGTCGGGGAGCGGGGCGATGCGTGGCTAGGGACCGGGTGCACAGAATGGACAGCACCAAGGAGCTGCCCTGGAGTCAGAGGGGAAAGTCTTGGCGTATCCGAGGGTGATGAAGGAGGCCAGCCCTGGAGTCTCCTGAAGAGAAGGAAAGTGGTTGGGGATTCGGCGGGGAAAGGACAGGGTGTTGTGGGAGTTTGTAAGCAACGGCAGGCAAAAAGGTTCACAGCCTGCCCGTTGGTCTTTTCTTTCACATTCAAAACAGCTCTCGCCCTGGCCGGTTTGGCTCAGCGGTTAGAGCATCGGCCCGCGGACCAGAGAGTCCTGGGTTCGGTTCCCGCGAAGGGCACGTACCTCGGTTGCAGTTCGTCCCCGGCCCCGGTTGGGGTCGTGTGCATGGCGACCAGTCGATGTGTCTCTCTCATGTCGATGTTTCTCTCTTTCTCCTGCCCCCTCTCTCCCTCCTGCTCTATCTGAAGATAAATGCAAAAATGTCCTCGGGTGAGGATAAAAACAAAAACAAAAACACAGCTCTCTAAAAGCCAAGGTATTTTTTTAATAGAATGTGAAATAGGAACCCTGTTGTCCCAGACAATGATCAGTTAGCTAATCAGGAAATCCAGTTCAAATGGGGACTCATGGAAAACGGATGAGACAGGTCCGTAGGCAGACATTTCATTTGAACCCTCAGCGTGGAAACGTGTCCAGTTGCCACTGTTTCCGCGGAGGGTCCGAGCCCATGCCGGGTCCGAGCCCGCTCAGGGTCCAGGCTCGCGCAGGGTCCGAGCCCGCGCAGGGTCCAGGCTCACTCAGGGTCCAGGCTCGCGCAGGGTCTGAGCCCACGCAGGGTCCGAGCCCGTGCAGGGTCCGAGCTCAGGCAGGCAATGCCCTTTAGAGTCCCTCTCGGGGTTTTCTCACAAAACCGTGAGCACAGTGCATGTTCTGTGGCCGCCACTTGGGCTTCCTTGGAAGTGGGCCACCCACACGTGCTGTGATTAAGCGCTGTGATCACAGTGACACACACCACGGGCATAGACAGGTCGGAGACAAACACGGGTGGCCATGGTAAACACAGAGCCTCCTGGTGAGAGCAGATGCTTCAGGCCAGGACCGTCCAGCCCTTTCGGAGCCACGGGGACCACGCTTCGGCTCCAGGGAGAGGTTCAGGTGAGCCCAGCGAGTCCACGGAGGCTTCCCGGCGCCGCCACCCACGACGTCACCAGCGGAGCCGGGCTTCAGCGCGTGACGGAAATGTCGCAAGCGTCACACTTGGCCCCGGGGTGGTACCGTGTCATTTGAAGTAAATGGAGATCTCCCTTTCTGAAGAATCGTACCGCAGATCCTGTTGTCCGCGACTTCATGGGCAGAGTGTGAACTTTTGGACGTTGGATGTGTCCAACCTCTGTGCGCAAGGGATTTAACAAAACCTCACCCCTCAAACTAAAAGCCTGGGAAGCAGGGGGATTTTCATTCCTCTTCCTTCCCCAATTTCCTCGGGAGGAAGTTATCTAGAGATGCCAGCTAGAGATAAGGGGAACATGTTTTATGGGAACGAGGTCAGCGAACTTCCTCCTCCAGACAGAACAACAGGGTACGAAGTCTCTGGAACAGCAGGCTCTCAGATCAGTCCAGTTAGATGGGCTGGAGCAAGGGGACTTTCTGACGCATAAACCTCTTGAACCCTTATCCTTAGAAGAACCACCTTCGTAATGCGAGAAAGATCCCACCCGCGCTCTCTCCTCACCTCGGGGAGAGCCCAGCTCAAGCCACCTGCCCAGCTCAGTTCATCAGCATGGCCGAGGTCACGTGCATTCCTTTGGGGACACCATCTCAGCCCCCAGTGTCCCTGAATGAGGTCCCTTGTGCCGGAAGCAGAGGTCCGGTCAGGAGCGGGGACGGCGCATGGTGTCTGCAGCGTGGCTGCTGGCCTTTGGCCCTGGACTGTGGCGGGGCCTCGCCGCACGCCCGCACCAGCGCGAGGAGAGGCGCATGGCGTGGCTGCCGGGTGAGGTAGGGGGCGTCACAGGAAAGAACCAGCCTCTGTCTCTTCTGGACAACCACAGCGACCCTGCCATCTGTCCCTCCGACCTTTCTCCTCCCTCCGCTCCAGGGCCGGTCTTGCTGGCCTGCTTAGCAGCGGCCGATGTCCCCCACCCCCTCTCAGGGGCCCTTGGTTCCTCTGGCCTCAACTCTACCCTCTCAGAACCGGGACCAGAGGACCTTAGCGGGCACGGAATTCTGTGGTTTTCCTGACATTCCAATGTCACCTTGCAGCGCCATGCATTTCTTGGTGCAGACAGGAGGCCCCAAGTGTTGGGGGCTCTGTTAGCTGTCCTAGTGGCTCCCATGCCGCCACCCCCACCCAGTCCCACCTCCCTGCCCCCGTCTCCCTACGGGCACAGAACCACTCCACGCCGTCACACCCACCCTCCGCCCCTGGCTAACCCCACCCGTCAAGGGTCAGGGCCGTGCCTGCGGTATTTCCCACACTCTCTTCGTTCCCTTGCCTGGGGCAGCGGTGCCACTTTGCTCCTCCTCTCCTGGTGCTTTGCAGGTGTTCTGTCTGTCTGTCTGTCAGCCATGCAGCGCACGCATTCTGTTGTTTAACGCTGACTTCTTTGCACTTCCTGCTGGTGTGAGCCCCATGCCCGCCTGGCTGACGGGCCTTTCCCCAGCGCCCGCTCAGAGCGTGGCACTCGGTAAGCGCCTGCCATCCTGAGTTTGCCACCAGCCTCAGTGACCCACCTCCACATCCTGGAACAGCACAGCCGTCATCCCTCCAGCCGTGCTGGCGGTTTCCCACGGTCTGGCTCAGGGTCGTGTCACCAGCATGGGCGGCAGTGCATGTCAGACAGGGGCTCCGCTCACCCCTCTCCGTGGGCATCTGATGGGACCGCGTGGGAGACGGAAGAGGGGTGATCGGACCCGTTTGCACATAGGAAACCCGAGGCCCAGACAGTGAGCAGTGGGAGTGGGGTTTGGGTTGAGCCCGCTCAGCCTAGGCAGGGAGCATCCCCGGGCCCCACAGCCACACACGGCAAGGAGACGGTCCAGACCTGGCCTGAGCCCAGGGCCAGCAACTGTCAGATTTGGGAGAATTTGACTGAAGTCCTATGACCAAAGACAGCAAATGACAACTAAAAGCTAAATAAAGCAGCAGGACCCCTCACTGATGTGCCTGCCGTGGGCTTGTGTGTCTGGTGACCAGTGATCAAACCCAGCACAGAGCAGAGACCAACGCAATGTGCCCAGACCGTCCGCCCCAGACTCCAACCACGCAGCTGTGAGTTTCCCCTTTACCTTGGCGGGCCCTGGTGTGTCCTCTCCTTCCTCCTCCTGCTGAGGCTCTATCCAGATCCCCTCCTCGTCCCCCAGAGGGTCCAGCGACTCTGTTGGGGCTCAGACGCGCCGAAGGCTCGGTCCTGCGGTCCCAGATGCCGTCACCCGAGGTTCCCACGTCGGCCCCTCCTCCAGATGTCTGCCTTAAACTGCTCAAAATAACTCCAGCATCCTGATAAAGATCAGCCCCGCTAAGGAAAAAACAAAGCAGAAATCCTCGAACACAGCAGGCCCTCAGACGAAACGCATCCGACAGGCTGGAAGGCCAGGCCTTGCCCCCGAGGCAGGGCCCGGGGGTCTCCTGGGGTCACGGGCAGCCAGGGGCTGGCCCCGGCTTGCTCCAGGTCACCAGGCCCATGTGCATGTCTGTCCCCAGCAGCGTGTTCCATGACATCATCTTGGTCACTTGAAACTGTGGCAGGAGTATTGGCACCATGGAAATTGGCAAATGCAGCTGCTGGACACCCACCAGCCGCCGTTGGCACGGACCTTCTGGCGAACGTGACAGGAGCTATACCAGCTCGCCCGGGAGAGGCTCATACACAGTCTCGCACATTTCACATATACCACCCGGGACTCGTGGTCTCCCGAAACCCTGTAAGGGACCCCCCGGTTAAAGATCACCCCCCCCCCTTTCTTAAGCCTTCAGGTGTTTTCTCGCAGGGACAATGGGAAGGTACATGGGCCCATGAGCCAGAAGCTGGGCCAGAGATTTGAAATATCTTATTGTAAAACCTCATTTAGTGATTCCCAGGACATCTGTCCACTGGGCACTGCCCTGTGCACCGGACAGATGAGACTCAGTGGTGCCCACAGTACCTGGTCAGAGCTGCCGCTGTCACCTCAGGGCAGCGGGTCGCATCGGGAGGGACAGAACCGGGCCACCTGCACTTACTTGCAAGACCCCCTGCACTGCATCTTGTTCTGATCTTGGTGCCAGCCCTGCCACGTGGGCGCTCAGATACCCATGCCACCGACGCGGAGCGGGGAGTCCAGGGGCGCAAGTAACTGGCCAGAGGTCACCCAGCTTGAGAGTGGAGTCCAGCCCCCGGGCCCTTGGGTTGGCGTCCGGCGTCCTGCCTCCGGCAGTGCTCCAGATCCGACTCTGCCGTCCAGCTTCCCGCGTGTCTCGGGGCATCGGGACGCCTCTGCGGACCTTGTCTTCCTTCTCTGAAAAGTTAGAGGCTGGCCCTTGAGATACGCTGGAGCCGACGGCAAGTCGGACACAGCCTTCGCACAGACCGCATCAATTTCGGCCCCAAGTGCAAGTTCACGGGGGTCCCAACACCTCCCTCAGGTGGATCATTCACTCGGGAGACGCACAGACCTCACGGACGGCTGCTCTCATGCTGACGGTTGTCACGGGGACGGACACGGGGACGGGTCAGCCGGAGGAACAGGCAGAGCTCCGAGCCCGGGGCTTCGACGCGAAGCTCCATCGTCCTCTCCTGCAGAGTCAGGAGGGGGGACCCTCTCGGCGTTGACGTGTGACAACACACACTGAGTCCTGCCAGCCAGGGAGACTCACCTGGACTGGGGTTCAGAGGTTTTACTGGGGCCTCGTTTCGTAGGCATAACTGGGGGGTTGATTGAGGCCCATGGGGTTCATCCCAGCCTCCAAGTTGACTATTCTGTGTGAGCCAGATCCCCCGTCCTGTCACATGGCTGGTCCTTTGGCATGGCCAGCCCCGCCCTACCACTGGGATGTGTCCACATTTACCAGACGACCCAGCATGGCCAGCCTGCACCCTGAACAAAGACACTCCTGTCAGGTATGACATCGGTGACCCCCCAGACACAGGACAAAGGCCAGGCCTCTCTTTTGGACAAACCCAATTCTTTTCCGCCAGCCACAAGGTCCCTGGCAGCCCCTCCAGTGTCACTGTCCCCGTGGTCCCTCCCAGGGGGACCATGCACCCTGGGCTGGCCTCCCCAGTGCATTCTAACCACTCGTCTGCCTCCAAACCGTCATCCCGTCTTGCCGGCTGCGTATTAGGCATCCATCCAGGCCTGGGGGATGTCCACGCACCTGCAGCTGTGTGCCAGGCACCGTGCTGAGGCTGGCTACATGCATCATGTCAGCCTTGCAGAGCTGTGAGGGTGCGAGCCCTCCGTGAACCAGGGCGGCACAGAGACGGGGCTCACAGTCTAGACTATTTTGAACAAACGGGTGTCCGATTGATACTGTCAGTATCATGGCTGGACTTTAGTCAAAGGCACATTGTCTCAGAGGATCGCCAGTAGCGTTGTTTCCCGGGACCGAAGTGCTCAGCACTGGGTACGTTTCACCCAGTAGGTGTGCCACAGACCTGCCCCAGGGGGGCCACGGGACGAAGGTCCAGCCGGATCTCAGCTAAACTCAGCGCTCAATCGGAAACCTGAAACATGAAGGGAGAATTTGGTTTTCCCAGCAGTTTATTATCACTTTAACTTTTGCTTCTCCTATTCCCGTGTTTCCCCAGCCTGGAGCTGCTGACTGATGTCCAGTACGCCTTGGGGCTGCCCTTTCACCCTGCCTACGAGGGGCAGTTCACTCCGGAGGAGAAAAGCACGTCCCTGAAAATTATGCAGTACTTTTCCAACTTCATCCGATCCGGGTGAGCGGACCGCGTGCGCCCTGCCCCCACCCCCACACAGAGGCCGCGTGCGCCTCCATACACTCACCCGTCCCTCCCTGGACGGTGCGGCCACCTGCCGCTGCTCCCCGTCCCGCTCTGCCCTCCACCACAGCCCCCTTCGCGTGCACTGAGCTTGGTGAAGAAAAGTTTCCATCAGACACGCCCTTGTTCAACCACATCTGACAGCCCTCGATCAGGGATTTCGCAGCCTCAGCATGGTTGACACGGGGGCTGGACACGTCTCTGCGGTGGGGACTGTCCTGGGCATTGTGGCTGAGGAGCAGCACCTCTGACCTCTACCTCACCCCTGTCCCAGTTGTGAGATCTGCAAACATCTCAGATGTTGTCAAATGTCCCCTGGAAGGCAGAGCCACCTCAAGCGGAGAAGGACTGTGTTGAATTATCAAATTAAATGAAAATGCTCGGGACCCGCTATTATCTACCTCGAACCTCCCGACATACTCTGTTCCGCCCAGTGAGCACGCCTGTTCTCCCCGCCCCGTCTGCCTCCCGCTGTCCCCTCCCCCTGCAGCTCACCCATCTCCCTCCGTCCCTCGCCGTACACGCATGGGTCACCTCGCACAGACCAGGTCCCCCAGAAAGGTACACACTAAAAAAGTCACGGCTCAGCCATCGCTCCTGAGTCTGAAACATAAAATCCAACCATAATTAAAAGCAGAACGAAATAAAACTCGATGCAGCATTCTGTGGGCGTCGAGTGGAAAGACGTTTCTTTTCCTTGGGAATTGGAAAACGTCTCGCTAAGGAAGTGACGTTGACGCTGGGCCTCGAGGGTGAACAGGACGTTCAGGTAGACCGAGGACCAAGGTGGTCGGAGACAGGAGCCTGTGCGAGCAGAGGCTAGGGCGAGACACGCCTGGTTTGGCCAATGCCGAGGTCAGGTGGCACTGGAATGTGGCGTGGGGTAGGGGACATGCTGGGAGAGGGGCTAGACGGTAGGTCTGAGAAGGAGCCTGTGTCTGAAAGGATGTGACATCCCCTTTCCAAAGGAAGTTGACCTGTAGGTGGCAGAGCAGTTTGCCTGGCTCGACCCACCCTCCCACCAGGCCGTGGACAAGCAAAGGCATCCCGGACCCTGGCAACGGTGCCCAGATGAAAGGACACAGGATTCAAGGGGCATGGTGGCCCCCTGAGTGTTTAGAGGCCCAGAAGGGCCACAGCAGAGCGGCTGGGTCATGAACTCACGTCTCCCCCTTCTAGAAGGTGTACACATACATACACCTTCAGCATGTGTAATGCAGCAGGTACACCTGCTCTGACACCTCAGGATGAGGGGGTTGGTCCTTGGAGACCAAGTGCAAGTGGGAATCATCCCAAGTGATGGAAGGAAAGACCGTTTGCCTCATGGATGTCTCCTTCTTCTCGCTTTTCCAGAAACCCCAACTACCCTCATGAGTTCTCAAGGAAAGCGCCTGAATCCGCAGTCCCCTGGCCTGACTTTGTCCCTGGTGCCAACGGAGAGAACTACAAGGAGTTCAGCGCCCTGCTCCCCAATCGGCGGGGCCTCAAAAGGGCCGACTGCTCGTTCTGGTCCAAGTACATCCGGTCCCTGAAGGCGCTGGCAGGTAGGGAGCCTGGAGCAGGCGGGCCAGGTGGAGGGCGGGCGGGGAGTGGATCCCCAGCACCCACCGCACACGCTGGGGCCGCTGGGTCCCTGGGATGCCGTCAACGCAGATCTCTCCATGAAGGGGTCACAGTCTGGGGGGCTGCGCTTTGCCGGGGGGCAGGAGGGGGAAGTAGAGAGAGAACATGGGCAGGGGGCTGGAAGGGCTGTGGACAGCTGAGTGGGGAGAGAAGGCAGGACCTTGAACCTCATCCTCGCTGCCCTTGGAGGGCTGGGTAAAACATCTTGGAGAGGGGATTCTAGCCAGGGAGACATGGGCGTCCTACCTCTTCCCGTTGAAGAGAACTTCCTGTTGAGAAGGTAGGGAGGAGAGAAAAGGAGCCATAGATGGGCACTGGGGATACCGAGATAAATGCGACCTTAAGAAGCTTCTGAGAGGGAGGGAGGGAGGGAGGGAGGGACTTAACTCAGTGAATCCCCTTCAGCTGTGCTGGTGCATGCTGGGCGTCTGCACTGAAGCCGGGGTGGGGGAAGGCTTCCCAGGGCTGAGTTTTCAGAATGACAGGAGGTCCTCAGGGGGAGACCAACCCGAGTGGAGCGTTCAGCAGGGACGCGACCTTGACTGACATGTTCAGACTCTCAACTCAGCCTTGACCTTCTCAGACCAGGAGGCTCTCTGTAGATGAAACCTAGTCGTGTTACATCCTCCACATGTCCCCACTGCCAGGTGATCTGAAAATGCCCCCCTGTAGGGCATTAGTAGAGAATGTCCATCAGAGGCTCGTGTCTCTTCGGGACTAAAAGAATGAGATGAGGGAGAAGTCCGGGTCCGAATTGGACCAGCCTTGCCCTCGTGTTTCAGATGAAGCCAAGGACGGGCTGTCGGCAGGCAATGAAGAGGAGGACCAACCGGCTGACGCTGGCCTGAGAGAAGACCTCCCAGACCCAGGCTCCAAGAGCTACAGCAAATGACCCGCCCCTGCGGCCTCCACCCACCCTGCCAGCCCCACCCCAGGCTGCCACCCTGAGCACCTGACTCTAAGCCACCAGCTTTCAATAAAGTGTCTGCATGCAGTGGAACACTGGTGACTGTGGTTTGTTCATTCAAGGCTTCCCTTGGGAGATGACAAACTATGTCTTAATAATCTTCTAATCTTAAATGTCCAGCTGAGTTCTGCATCCCAGGCTGCCGTTCCCTTCCATCAAATGTCTACATAGCACCCTCTAGTGCACCAGGCTCTGTGCTGGGGGGGGGGGGGGGGCAAGAACACTGCCCCCTAGAAGGACAGGGAAGCAGGTACAGATGTGACACAGGACCCATCCATCTGGATGGGGATCCCTCCAGAGTCCTACCTACATGTCGGACAGATTCCCCTGTGAAGGTTCTAGAAAGGAGATGGGAGACTAGGCTGGTGCAATATGCTGAGTGACCGTGAGGTCTGAATCAGGGCAGAGAGGACAGAAGGAGGAGCGTATCTGAGAACCGTTTAGGAAGGAGATGGACAGGACTTGATTGAATATGAGGGGGCGGTGCAAGGAGATAGAATTATGACCTCGGCTTTCGGTTGATTTAGGCTCCCCCATAGGCAACTGATTTTATCATTCACCCTCCTAAGAAGCACACTGACGAAGGCAAATCTGTCCACAGCTGTCTCTGTCTCAACTCCACACGCACACGATTAACCTCAGATGGAGCTGATTAGCAGTCTCTGTCACTTACATGGCGTGTCAAGAGACGTGTTCACACACATCATCGAATTTGAGCATAGACCGAACTCAGCGATGATTCGTATGCTGGGACTGGCACCCCATTTTGCAGATCTGGAAGGTAAAGCTTAGAAAGGCTTAAGTTGTGTCTAAATTCACAGAGGGAGGAGGTAGTGAATCAAAGTGGAACTCAGGTTTTCTGATTCCTCTGTTTCCTTGCACTTCAAATAGGTCTACAGCCACATTGTGTGTGCTTCAAAACCTACTGGTAGCATTGAAAACCCTAAGTAACCTCTAACCTACAGGATAGGCTCTATCAGTTAGGATGGGAGCCCAAATACCCAACTAAAGTCCCTTAACTAAAAGGTACTCCCGGAAATGGCTGGTCCTAGGATTGAGCAGTGGTTCAGTTACGTCAAGGGCCCAGGCTCTTTCCAGCCTCCTCTTTGCTATCTTCAGCACGGGGATGACATCTAACTTCACTGACACAACATGGCTGCCACCGCTCCAGACATCACATTCCCTCCTGACAGCATCCTGTGCTGGAGGCAAGCAGGGAAGGATGCAGAGGGCCTTCCTTTCAAGTGCCTCTTTCTTTTCTTGGAGGAAATCTTTCCCAGAAACTACCAGTAGAATTCTCTTTACGTATCATTGATTTATGTTCCCACTTTTAGGGAATGGGCGTACCATGATTTGATTAGACCAGTATGACTTAATCAGCCAATAGGGAAAGTAGCTGGGATTACCCTGCTGGGTCCGGTGTAATCACAAGGGTCCTTAAAAGTAGAAAAAGGAGATAGGAGAGAGGACGAGCGATGACAATGGGGGGAGGACTGGCCCAGCGTTGCTGATGTTGAAAACGGAGGAAGGGACCAAGAGCCCGGGAACACGAGTGGCCTCTAGAAGCTAGAAAAGGCAAGGACAGGAATTCCCCCCCAAAACCTCTAGAAAGGAACATACAAAGCTGACACCCTGATTTTAGCCCACTAACTTTATGTTGGATTTCTGATCTATGGAACCATAAACAAATCAATCTGTGTTGTTTTAAGGCCATTTGTAATTCATTCCAGTATCCATCAAAAACTAGCACATCGTTATACCTGTTTAGAGGTATATTTTATCCTGTCCTTGGACCAAGCCCCACTGAGCTCATTATTTCCCCGATGATAAAAAGTCCACTCCAGTCCAATATCCAAACTCTGAATCCACCATCATTAGCCCTGCAAATGTATGGTTTGCTGACTGGGCGGGGGATGGACTGACTGGTGGACTCAGGCTGGGCCACCGGCTCTGGAGCCCTCACGTATGATCAAACACAGAATGCCAGCCGCTGTGTGTTCGTAGCCTTTGGAAAATGAGATAGAAAACAACCCACAGAAGCATCCTGTTGAAAGAGCAACGCCTGCTTTGCAGATTCGCCCTGCCGCTGGAGGCTGCTCATGGGCATGGACAGAAACTATAAAGTACTGTTCAAAAGCCCTTATGGTTCAGTCGACTCGGGGCACCTACAGCGTGCTGTCCGTAAGACAGTAGGGGTGGGAGCTACGGATCCAAAGACCAGGTCACCGTGGTCTCTGCCCTGGGCTAACGTGTGTGTGGGGACAGCCTTGATGGCATCATAAACGCTTCCCCTTCTGGAACAGGGCAGGAAGGCCCTTTACCCAGCATCGAGGCAAAGGTCACCAAGAAGTCAGGAGGTCAAAGGGGCAGCACCTGATCAGAGTGACCTTCAGGACCAGTAGGGCAAGAACTGAGACCTGAAGGGAAGACCTTTGCTCTGAGTACAGTCATTGCTCTGAGTCAGCTTCTTCCTTAGCGGAAGCACTCAGAGGGCACGGCGATGAGGCAAGTGACTCTCTCAAGGGGAAGTTGTAACGTCAGCCTGCAAGGGCCTCCACCTCCCAAGTCCCGAAACAGAGGCAGCAAAGTGTCGGGCTCGGGGACGCGTCGGTCCCAGGAACTGGGGCAGCAAGAACAGCTCCTCCCAGACCACCAAGGCCATCAGGCAGTGGTCCCAAGGCAGGTCTGAAGGCATGGACGTCCCCTGGGAAGCTTGTGGAAAACACGGCTTTCTGTTCCCAAATTTTAAGAATAAATGTGTCTAAGATAAGGCTCGTAAATCTATGTTTTCAAATGAACAAGACCCGTACTTAAGGAGTGACCTCCCGTGGTCCCATCTGCCATCGTCACACTCTGCAGAAACCTGCTTCTCATTTCGGTCACTCGGTCACCTGCGCACCCGCGCACCCGCGCACCCCCGCACCCGCGCACCCGCGCACCCGCGCACCCCCGCACCCGCGCACCTCCGCACCCGCGCACCCGCGCACCTCCGCACCCGCGCACCTCCGCACCCGCGCACCTCCGCACCCGCGCACCCGCGTACCCCCGCACCCGCGCACCCCCGCACCCGCGCACCCGCGCACCTCCGCACCCGCGCACCTCCGCACCCGCGCACCTCCGCACCCGCGCACCTCCGCACCTCCGCACCGCGCGCACCTCCGCACCCGCGTACCCCCGCACCTGCGCACCCGCGCACCTCCACACACCCGCGCACCTCCGCACCCGCGCACCCGCGCACCTCCACACCTCCGCACCTCCGCACCCGCGCACCCGCGCACCTCCGCACCTCCGCACCTCCGCACCCGCGCACCCGCGCACCTCCGCACCTCCGCACCTCTGCGGAGTCGGAGCACTTCCTCTGTGGGTGGTTATCAACTTTGTGCCATTGATTTGGTTCCCTAATCCCACCAGCCTCTCCTCACACACCTTCAAAAGCTGGATAACAGCATGATTCTTATTTCTTCTTTTGGTCACTTTCATCATTCTAAAGACTATATTTTTCTTATTCTATCAATTTTCTTGCTACTTCAGCGACGAGTGGTTTGCACCCTTGTAACGCCTCATCTTTTATTCTTCTTTCTAATTCTTTGTCACTGCCTGTGCTCTCAGATCTTTGTCCTGCAGCCTCACCTGAGCCTCCATGCTTCGTTCCGGAGGGTCATTCCCGCATCTGAAACTGGTTAACTTCACTTACCACGTTCAGACCTTGTATGTACTGTTTCCAGGCCAAGCAGTGTGCTAGAATCCCGCTCCGTATTCTTCTGATACATGGTGCAAACCTGGAGCCTTAGGATCAAATAAATTCTCTTTTATCAGAGTTCATCAGTTGCTTAAAAATCATGATACATTTAAAAAATTTTTTTTTCTTTATTGATTTTAGAGAGAGAGGAAGAGGAGGGGAGAGACAGAAATATCAATGAGAACATCAATTGGCCGCCTCCTGCATGCCCCCCACTAGGGATTGGGTCTACAACTTGGGCATGTGCCCTGACCGGGAATCGAACTGGTGACCTCTTGGTGCATGGGTTGATGCTCAACCACTGAGCCACACTGGCCGGGCTCACGATACACTTTAGACTATAATATTATGGTGGGGCTTCTTGTTTTATCTAGCATTTATAATGGCTTCCTCCTCCTCCCCCTCCCCCTCCCCTCCCCCTCCTCCTCCTCCTCCTCCACCTCCTCCGCCTCTTCTCCTCTTTGTTTTCTTCTTTTTCTTCTTTCTCATCCTCTTCCCTTCCCTCCTCCCTCCTTCCTTCCTCTCCTCTCCCTCTTTTTCCCTTCGACTCTGTGCTTTTATTGTATCTTCAAGGAATGTGTAAAAATTCTACATCACCTTTAGTGGGCCTCAGCCAGGTTGGGTATTACCTCCCTAAAGGAAGCAAAATATGTGATTTTTTGAGTCAGACGGGAGTTGGGATTCTGACTCAGCAGCTCCCCAACCCAACGGCCCAGAACCGACCCCTCCACTAGTCTGGGTAGCAGAGGTTTCAGGCACCAGAACAAGTCAGGGCAGAGAACGTTCTCCAGAAAGGAGAACGGAGGCTGAGCCACAGGACAAACAAGACAAGCCCGGCACAGAAGAAGCTCAGATAAGCTCAGGCCTGCGGGGTGCCGTTCCGGGGTGCCCCGGAGCAAAGGCCCAGCTTGTTCCTGGCAGCGTGCCAGCCCGGAGGATGCCAACACTGGTGGGCTTCCACGGGGTCAGGGCTGCCTTGGCCCTGTGCAGGCGGCCCTGGCTGGCTGGGGGAGCCGCAGGTCCCCTCTGAGGCCTTGGCTCCGCAGATCTTCATCCGCCCAGGATCCTGGGACCCTGCCATCCTCCAATGGCTCTGTCTCCACCCAACAGGCTCTCAAGTTCTGGCCCCAGAGCAAAACTGTGGAGTCCGGCTCTGCGCCCGGCACCCGGTCCTGCGTGTGCCTGA